GCCTGCCTCCAGCTACTCTAGAAACACTGGTCCTACTCATAACACTCAAGAAGCACTTCCCAGAGGGATATCGCTGAGAGCCCAATATTTCTTACTAGTTTGGGGTGGATACTCTCTGCTTCCATTTCCCTAAGAGTGTAAGCTAGGCAGATGGGGCTGTAGATACAGACGAGTGAGGCCAAAGGGAAGATATGGAGATGGTCTCTTGCCTCCCTGGGTCCAGACTTCCCTCTGCTCTTGTATCCTATCGAGGATAAGAGACTTTGAGAATGGGACAGCTAATACATCAGAACTTAGTGAGCAGTAACTACATTCTAGATGCTGAACATAAGAGATGAACACCGGTCATAAGCACAAATGTCTCCCCATTGACTCACTCTCACCAAGGGTTTAGGGGTGATTGAGTTTTTATCATACCCAATCATTCTCTATATATTTAGGTTCAATAACTTCCTATTAAGGTAGTGCATACTAGGTGGCTTGACAAGAGTTTAAACATAGGTCCTCCTGCATTGGTACCAATTTAAGAGAGAGCTGAAGTTCTAGTAGATAGATGTTCACTTCAGCAGAGATGAGAATACACTGATTAGGGTGTTTCTCAGTCCACAATATCCGCCTTGCTGAATAAACAAATAGATGAATTAATGTGTTACTAAACAAGTTACTAGACAAGACAGGGAAGAAGTCAGCTGGACCTTCTGCACCAAACGACATTCCACTAAGAGCTGGCCTGCTTTCTGTGCCACAGAGCAGGGTGTTATCTTCCAAGCCCATAGACTGATGTCTCACAAGCAAACAGGAGGCTTCTCATGCCACACTTGCAGCCCCAGCTGTGAACTGGAAATACATGTATGACAATGTGCTGCCCTGCCACACTCCAGCCACTGTTTCCTGGGGACCAGAGGAATATGAATCACAGAGATTTATGACTATAGACCTGTGGGGTAGCAAAGGTGATTGATGGTATGAGAAAGAAAGAATGCTGAAGACAGAACTTAGAGGCAGAAGGTGTGGGCTCACGTCCTAGATAGGTGTCTGCTGTTTAGACACATGCCCTCTATGAGCCTCGGTATCGTCATTTGGAAGATGAGGACAAGATCCTTACTGTTGTTTAAATGCCCCTAGTAAAATTCCTGTGCTAGAATTAGGCAGCATTGTAATATGTCGAGTAATACCTTTCTGAAGTGATTGGGTCTTATGGATATGTCCTTAAAGCATATATTAAAGCCGTTATAGCCAGAATGGGCTAGTTATAGCAGGAGCATACTTCTGCTAAAAAGATGGGTGGGGATAGTTTCCCTCTCTTCTTCAGCATATGATGTCCTTGACTTTGTGAGGACATGACTAGAAGGGCTTCACCAAACACCAGTGCCAGCTCTCGAACTTTCCAGACACAAGAAACACAAGGTATAAATATCGGTTGCTTAGAAAACACTCAGTGTCTGATATTCTGTAGTAGTAGAAAATGGACTCAGACAACCCCTTTCATGGGTTTATAGGTATTACATGAACTAATCGACATAAGCAGACGCTAAGCCATGCACAACTTCAACTAAGAATACTAAGGGGTTGGGGTGGCAGACAGAATATGGTGACTCCAGTGCCCCTAAATACTTGTCTTTTAGCTACAGGCTGATGATGACAGGTCTCATGCTGAGCCAGCTGTCTGATGCCACTGCACCCACCCTCCCGCCTCCCGCCCCCACCCCCCACCAAAACTGAGAGCTGAGATGCTGTGCAGTGTCAGCCCTGAAGCACTGTGTCATGCTCCAACACTGTCACTTCCCCTGTGCACAAGAGTGGAATGTGAGGTGACACCTGGAGACAAGGTGGGAAGGAAGAGCTGTCAGCAGGGATAACTCTGGATGCAGGTGTCAAGATGGGAGGGAAAAAAAGGAAGGTTATGTGGCCAAGAGAGGGGATGCACGGAATGGGCTTAAAAGGTATTGGTCCTGCATCGGAAGGCATGATCTAAACTCCAGCATCTGCCACCAGAGAGCAGGGGACAGAGAACAAAGGGCTTACCGTCCCTGGGTACTGATAACTCATCTCCGAGGGCTGTTCTACCTGCCTCACTAGTTAGTACTACAACACCTTTAACTGATATTAAGACCCCATAATTGTAAAGTGCCTGGTAGTTTAACACACCAGTAAGAGAGAGAGAGAAGAAAGCTCCATGGAGCTCTGCCGTGGCAGGATTCTAAACATGAGCTGGCTTCAGAGACGATATGCCTCTTAGCAGCAAAGCAAGGTGGTAGACGAACGTGCAGATGTAAGACAGCTCCACTGCCGTGGGTCAGAACCTTATCCCTCCACAGTCACGTGCACAGTGAACCCGTTGCCTGGAAGCCATCAACATGTAAACTGAAAAGAACTCCCACATGTCGGATGGATGGTAGGATGGGATCAGGAGCAAAGTCTTGTTGGGTCAACTAGAAAGTAGCAGCTTCTCAAGGTCACCCAGAGAGCCCATCAGAGTCTGAGGAGTCAGAGAGCTGAGCAGACAGCTTAGACAGGACAGTTGACCTGTGAAGTTCTAGCACTCCCTGGACATGCAGGTGAGAAATTGAGGGCTTCTTGGCTGTAACAACAAGAGTACCCTGCTGATTCCCATAAATCTGCTCCTTCAACCGTGTGACAGCCAGCTCCATTAAAGCCCCTATGAATCTTCCCTTGGCTGGTCAAATGGCGAGGGTCCTTCCCCTCCGCACACCCACCACAGACCCCACATCTATCACCGGCACCACCAGATTCCCCTGTCAAGTACAGTTGTCTTGTAGTACCTGAAGAAGACTGGTTCTGAGACACTGTGAATATCAAAATTTACACACGCTCACATACATTATATAAGATGTCATGTTTTAACATATAATATATGCATGCACATCTTCCTTCCTGGGTGCTTTAAATCAGCTCTACAAGACCCTGCAGCATAAATGCTATGTAAATATTAGTTATTCTACACTGCCTAGGGAGTGGTGATAAGGATAAAAAGTCCTTTTGCGCTCAGTACAGATGCATTTTCCCTAAATATTTCCTATCCACGCTTCACTGGATCTGCTCGGAAGCCAAAGATACAAAGAACTGACTGCACTTCAACCTGTCAAACTGTCTAGTAAAGTGTGACATCCAAAAAATGTTAGAGCATCTTTAATAATTATTATAGCAAAACCCAGAAAGCAATCTAAGTGTCAAATAATGAGCAGAGACAAGAAGCAAACTGTGTACATCCACTTAACAAAGTGCTGTTCAGTAACCACCAAATTTCAGAGAAGTATGGAAGGATGTGTGATATGCTCATCATATATTGAGAAAGGCAACAAAATTACAGACATTTGAAAGAAAGATTTCTTAGCTCTCAAGGGCTGGGAGAAGATGCCATAAAAATCAGAAATTGCTCTTAATCAGTGAACAGGTTTTCTCTTTCTTAAAAATATCAAAAGAGAATCAGTATGTGACAGTTTAAAATGAAAATGAGTGGCTTAGACCAGAAATTTCAAAGGTTTGCAGTGCATAGAACATTGAACAGGACAAATACACACACACACACACACACACACACACACCACAACCACCACCAACAGCAGCAACACCAACAACACTTTTATTCCAAATGGAATTATAACATGGTTTAAGTTCTCACCTAGAATTATTCTAATATAGCTTATATTATTGATTTTAGAGACATTTAAAACACTGTTCAGATGTGCTACATTTTTGGTGACAATATACTCCTGTGGTACTATATATACTAAGTCATATTTCAAATGTACCATTAGAATATTTTTTGAAAAATGACCTACAGAAAATCCTTCTGTAAGGCAGCAGACACTTTTTCAACATGATCAATCAGTCCTATTCCTCCATTACCTATACTGAGGTTGACTGCTTATAAACTATACTCTAAACCATTAGAGCTTCATCTACTTCTCTTTTGCTCAATCACAATTGGCCTAAAAACAAAAAAAAAAAGTGAACACTGGGTCTATATCACAAGACAGTGGGGAGATGGCTTCCAAGCTCACCTCAAATTTTACCCTAACCCAACAACTCCCGACAAATTTCCTTTTTCCTCACACTCGTTCATCATAATGGTGGCTACATGGTCCCTCTCTTCAATGACCCGTGAAGCTCTGCTAAGCAAGCCAGGCAGCTAAGTCAGGAAATTTCCGTGCCAAACACTTGATATCATACCTACACAGATTTGTCCCTTCCCCCTGCAAGCACCAATGGACTCAAAGACACACAAGCCACAGAGCCTGTACAGTATTATCAAACATTCCCAATGCTATAAAGTCCATCACATTTGCTGCCTACAGTGTTGGATCCACCCATCATCCTTATACTATGCTCATACCCAAATGAGTGATATGGCAAATATCCACCTTCATGAGTCACTGTCCTATACATGCCTTTGACACTGGGTCATCCCAATATACAGTATATTAAATCCTAAGGAATGACTTATCAAGCATTTTGATGTAATTCAATTTTATGCCATTAATAAATCTATGAATTATTTTAGTCTGTTCTCAGTGTATTAATTTTATTTTAGTTCAGAAAACATAAATTGAGTCTTCTCTAATCGCCCAAAGAAACTGGATGTTTTTGCTGCATCCGTTGATTGATATCTTGGGATGACCCCTTCTCCAGACCAGAACAAGCCACTTGCTTCAGTGAAAAGGCTCCTTTTTGGAAAACTGGTTATTGAGAAATCTAGCAAGACCACAACGGAAAACCAGAAGCATTCCTGAGAGTCTCCCATGTCCCTGCCTAATGTCATATGTATCCAGAACCTCCGAAAATGGGTTCTTTGTGGTACAGCTACATGGAGACTCTTATCCTTGATCGTTTTCTTTAGCTTATGCTTTATATCGTGATCTCTGCCTACTCCATATTTCTTCTACTGGCTACTTCACGTCACCATGAGCCTCCCAACACACACACACACGCACGCACGCATGCACATACACAGAAGAGCAAGAAGGAAGGAGACTCACCCACTGAGGACCACGATGAAGTCCATGACATTCCAGCCGTTGCGGAGGTATGAACCTTTATGGAAGATGAAACCTAGAGCCACGATTTTGATCCCAGCTTCAAAGCAGAAGATCCCAATGAAATATGGTTCTGTCTTTTCCTGTGAAGATGAAGAACAGAGAAACAATAAAAGGATTGTTCCTTATCAGGTACAGGCAAAGGCACATCTTGACTATCTCCTGTGCACCCATGTTGGACAGCCCTACGTACAGGTACAGCTTAGGTTACTGAAGATCCAGATGACCTGAAAGTTCATGGAATGCGCGCGCGCACACACACATACACACACACACACACACACAGATTAGGGAAATGTCTGTTAAAAATGGACAGATGTGTCCCACATAGGGACTAGACATCTTTCTCCTGAAGGTCCCCACTGGCATAGTGTTGCCTAGGAGTTTATTTCTTTATTTCTCCATTTTTAGGTCTGTCCACTAGCTGGGAACTTCAGAGTTCTCATGCCTGGGTCATTAGGCTGGCCACTTGCCCACGTGTTTGGACTTCAAATAACGTGTATGCTCTCTTCTGCAGGAATACATTAGATGTGTGACTCGTTCCTTTAGGAGAAGAAGGATGCCGGCATTTAGCAAGTTTACCACACCAACACATTCAGCCTTCAGCATCTTCCTCCCTTCTCTGTGACCCTCCCTCTTCCTTCTCACTTCAACAGTCCCTTAGGAAAGAGGCGTGAAGCAATGGCCCTCCTGTCTGCCCCTTCTTCTTGCCTGACTGCCATGTGAGCACACACAAGTATTTGCAATGCCCTCTTCCTCGTGAGTCCCAGTGAGGTTGCTTGTTAACTGTCCCTCAGTAAAGAACAGTCTTCACAGAGCTGTGTGAGAATTAAAGTGTGGAAAGTGGGGTGGAGGCAGGGGACCAGGGGGAGAAAGGGAGAAGGAAGCCAGTACATACCAGCCTTCGGGACATCGGGGTCTTGTCATCCTCAGGAAGATGCTGCTCCAGGGCCAAGACGATGCAGTTGGCAATGATGGTGGCCAGGATCATGTACTCAAATGGCGTGAAAAAGAGGAGTTAAGGATCAAGTTCATGTAAGGGAAGATACGGCCTTCAAGATGGCCACATACATAAACACACAAACTTCTTCCTTCCCATTGGTCTTTGCCGTCTGAATGACATATACTCGCAAGCAACCGGCAGGCAGCACACATCATGGGCCTTACTATGAGAGGCATTATCATTTAGGGCTGGTCTGTGAAAACAAAGCATTTTCTCCAAGGAAAGGAAGCAGGTGGTTAATAAGAGTTGGTCCTATGTCCAATCCCCCAAATGATGAATGAAATAAAATATAAATCCAGTAACTAACCAGGGCTTCAAATTGATGGGAAAGAAGGAAGAAGCAAGAGGAACCCTGTAACAGGATCCTGCTCTTCCCATGCTTCAGGTGCCTGGGCAGAAGAACCAGCTTTAATCTCAAAAAAGACCCGGCTGTGGCTGCCTGTCGCCTTCTCAGAATCACATCTAGAATCACCCCTCTCTCCAGAGCCTCCGACCAACTGACGGAAAGAAGAAACTCTGGAGAGGAAACCATTCCCCATCCCATGTGAGCCCCCCTTCTGTCTTAATATCTGACACAGAAAGCACATCCTGGGGTCAGGAGAAGCACTTGGTCTCACCGTATTGTCTCCCAAGCCTCTGCATTTATAGGGATCAGAAGGGCATAGCATGAACCAAACTGTGAGTCCACTGAGTAAACACACAAGCTTTCCCCTGCTGTTTTTCTGGAGACAGGTGAGGTGTTCTCTGCACCTCTTTGAAAAACATGATTCAAAGCAGGCACCCTGACTCCTGCAGAAGGACTTTGCAAGCTCAGGGGAGGTGGGGCGATGGCTAGAAGAGGGAGACACGGGCTCCCTCCCAGGGCCCAGTCATCTTGCACATTGGGATTTCATTCTGTAATTACCGCTATGACAAATGCAAGCCAGATGTGTCACTAGCCTTGCAGGTCAACCTATTCTCTGGCAAATTCCACAGCTCAAGCTGGAGAGAAGGACAGTATCTGACAAGGAGGAGAGGATGGAGACCATTCTCCTGTCAGCGCACAGAGTAGGACACAGGACCGAAACACCTCTTTCCTATACAGAAGGCAGCCAGATCATAAAGAAGCCCCCATCCCCATGCCTCTCATTCCATCCCATCAAATGAACACCCAGTGACCCTTGGGGAGGGGCAGAGACCAGAGCATCCTGCAGGTAAAGGCCATGTGTGCCCACCAGTTGTTCTGGTCGTGGGGCTAGCACAGGAGGCTAGAGATAAGGTGAATCTTCTAGTCCACCACATTCCGTAGTACCATCTCTCCCCCGTTTCCATGCACCCCTGAGTCACAGGCATTCTCCCACAGCTGGCAGTCTTCCTTCCCACACATCTCCAGTTCTCACACAGCACCCCCAACCCCGAGATCCTCTGCTTCCTCATGTTCCACCACCTGATCTGGAAAATGGATGGGCCTCGTTGGACGGACTCCTGCCCCAGATTCTATGGCACTTCCTGAAGCCCTCACAGCTGAAGGGGAGCCACTGCATGGCTCCATTAGTACTACCAGGCATTTTATCTGCTTCAAAGTCTGGAATTTAAGGGCAACCTCAAAGAGCCAAACATGCTGCAGGCACACTAGCTTGCACACCACACCCGCTATCTTAGGACAAGTGTCCACCCAGCACAAACCCTGGCCAGACCACCAGAGCACAAGGATCAGAAGGAGAATACTTCTGTCACATAGCTGACCCTACCTAGAGCCTTGCATATAGAGTAACAAAGGACTAACACAGGGTCCGGTATCCCACAAGACTCTAGAGCAGGCCAAGCTATCCTGGGCCTGGTGCTGGTGCCTGGAATTCCCAGGCCAATCAGGCGACAGTGAGGCAAAAGTGGTGGTTGAGGAATTTCTGACCTTGCCTAGGAAATCGGTCCAGAAAGGAAACTGACAGTGTGCCAATACAGCATTGATGAATGGCTACAGAAGCTGAGGGCATCTGGGGTGCTGTTTCTACAATGTAGGTCACAAAATACTCGTGGTACAGAAACTTGCAATCAAATAAATGAGGGAAGCCTGGGTTAAGTAAAGTTAAGCAGGTTCCTTCCCAGCAGGACGGCTTGGAGCCTTTTAATGCTACTGTACACAGTGTGTGACTGTACACAGTGTGTGACTGCACACACAGTGGGGTGGGGATCGGGACACAGCACACTCCAAACTTGCTTCACCAAAGCAATCCTTTGTTCAGAGCATCTCTTGGCAATGGCACTCACCGGAACATTGTTAGGAACCCTGATGAAAAACAGCAGGTCTCACTGATCACCGCAGGTTGAGGAGGGGCTGGTATCTGAGTTGAGTGATATATTCATTGTCTCTTCCATGTAACACACACACACACACACACCCACACACACACACACACACACACCAATGCTATTAATAAAGTTGTTCACAAAACCACTGGGCTCACCTGGCTATTGCCCATGGTTAGAAGTGCCCCGTGCAAGCTCCGAGACCTACTCAGACCTCCGTGGACCCAAGAGCTCCCTGGGAAAGATCACTTTCTCACTCAAGCTGTATAAATCTCTGCTTCTTGTGGATCCACTGGGTTTGGAATGGTCTGGACGGGGGGGTGTGCATTCTTCCACTGGAAGGCTGGGAAGGAAAACCAACAACTGAAAGTGCCGGAGCAATCAAGCCAGGCTGCTAAGACAGCTCAGCAGGTACACGTTTCTCAGGGCTTTCTCCCCGCTGATCCCCACTTAGAACGCTGGCCCCACTAATCACTCTCACTTCCACACCTGCCTCTCTTCAGCCAGGCAGACTCCATCTGCACTTCCTTGCGAGGGCCTGCCTTTAAGTTTCACTGTCCAGATCAGATATTTGATGCTTGTTAGGGACACAAGACCGGCCTGGAAAAGGTACGGGCATGTCACAACATTACAGAAGAATGACTCTTGACCTCAGAGGCTGATGAGTAAAATTGTCTGTGACTGGTTAAGTCATGTAGTCTCAAAGCCTGGTGCTATCCACGGCCCCAAATACTAGATTCAAAAGGTAGTATCTTAGTTGGGGCTTCAGTCGCCGAGATGAAACGCCCTGAGCAAAAGCAAGTCGGGGAGGAAAGGGTTTATTTGGCTTACCCTTCCATGGCATAGTCCACCACTGAAGGGAGTCGGGACAGGAACTCAGACAGGGCAGGATCCTGGAGGCAGGAGCTGACGCAGAGGCCATGGAGGAGAGCTGCTTACTGGCTTGCTCACTATGGCTTGTTTGGCCTGCTTTCTTATAGACCCAGAACCTCCAGGCCAAGGATGGCACCACCCACAATGGGCTGACCCTTCCCCGTGAATCACTAATGAAGAAAATGCCCTACAGGCTTGTCTACAGCCTGATCTTGTGGAGGCTTTGTTTTGAGGCACCCTCCACTTAGGTGACTTTAGCTGTGACATGTTAACATAAAACCAGCCAGTACAGGTGGGAATCTGGGAAGGATAAAGAATATGACATAAGACTGTGGTATGGGTCAAGGGAGGCAAAGGTGTGAAGCTTCTGGAGGTTTCTGGGGGTTAAGTGAGAGAAAGGCGAGGCACCAGAAAATTGAGGGGAAGCAAGCAGGATGGCATACAGGGTGGGGGCAGGGTCCCAGCCACGGGGTCACATCTCTTTTCTCTAGCTTCTTTTCCACTTCCCTTCTTGAAGAAAATATAAAGAACAGAAGAAGAGACACTGACATCCATTGATGTCCACCACCACTTGGGGTGATCTTTTTTCTCTATTCTGAGCACATGCTAACACTTCCCCTGGTGACATTTTCCCTTATGCCTCATTTTCTTTGCATTGCTCATTTTTTTTTTGTATCTTCTATTTATCTCCTCCAAGAAACTCTATCTTGAAAGCAGGTGTTTCATTTAACTCTCTGTAGGCTGGGCTCAGCAGAGATTCTGGTACAGAGCAGGAGCTTAAGCAATGTTCAGTGGAGGAGGAAGTGCAAGCAGGCTTTCCCTCCCTCTGCTCAGTTCAGGACCTTATGCACCCCCATCTCTGCACGGTGACTCCTTTCCTCTTGCCAGCAGATGCCAAGCCCAATAGCAAAGGTTCTGGTTCATGTCCAAGAGAAGACCCTGAACTGCAGATAACAGCCCACAGTTTCAACTCATGTGCCTCCCAGGTGAGGCAAAAGACGTGACTTGGAGAGATGAAAGGGAGCTACATGTCACCAGGGCAGCAAAGAGCAGCCCCTTCATGGCCGTCACAGTCAGTGATGGCCTGCAAGTGTGTCTGCAGAGAGCTCTCATTCTGCCTAGGAATTCAGTGGCTCCCATTATGCTCTGGGCTTGGCATGAAGCATAATTTGGAGAATGTCCACCATGGAGTCTAGACTGTATTCTAATACTCGAAACAATGGAGCCAATGAAGCAGAAAGGCTTGGGAGACCGAGGGCAGAGGCTTTGCCTGTCCCACACAGGCCTGTCCCTGGTGGCCTACACTGTGTTTGGAAATAGTGGGTATGTAATGATTACTATTTAATTAATAAATGGCTAATTAATACATGGATAGCATAGGGACACCAGATCCTGCAATATATATATATATATATATATATATAGTCCCATATTCTCTCTCCACAGTATTCCCATCTGAACTTTTGTACTGTGTGCTGTGGGCATACATTATCAAAAAAGAAAGAGAAAGGGAGCCAGCACGCACAGACATTCTCTTTAATGTTACAAAAGGAGAGAGAGGTGGGGGGAGGGAGGCGCCTGCTTTGCTAGGAGGATAATGAGTTTTCTCTGAGTAATAGGGTTATTTTCACTTTTTTCTTCACTCCTTTATCCATTGTCTGACTGTTATAATGAGCATGTATTAACTTATAATCATAAAATCAATAATAGCTATATGTATTCCGGGGGGCGAAAAATCCAACCCATACCCAAGTCCACATCAACCTGAGTATAAAGACGAGGATAGGGGAAGGCTAGGCAAGAGCCTTGGAAGATCAAATGCGGGAGAACAAAGGCCCAGACC